CTCATGCATGGGGGCATCATCACTCACTCCTTCATTATTTGTAAACTGCACCTTAGCAGTCTGGCAAAGTCCCCCAACCAGTGTTGTAAATTATCCCTGAAAAGCCCTGAGGGGAGTGGATAATATGATATTTACATTCTTTACATGGCGGATTGCTCCCGATAGCAAAACAATTAAAAAGGAAAAAAACACACAAAAAGGCGAAATAAAACTAGAATATATTTAAACAAATTCACCGAATATTTTGGTTTGTTAACTCTCGAGGAAGAGCAGGGAGATCACTTGCCGGCTTTAGAGAACTTTATATCGTCAAAGTAAAGGCTAAAAAGAGATGGAGATAAAACACACACAACGGAAAACGTCTCCATGCCATCTGTAACCTGCGTCGCAGACACTATTTAACCTCGTCTGCGGCAAAAAATGAACTTCCAAAAATTAGTTTGCAATTCTGAATAAAAAGGTTTCTAAGGAATGATTAAAGTTCATAATCTATTTCTCTTTTTTTTTTTTCTGATATTTAACCCTCTACTTACCCCTAGTTCTTTTCCCCTGTGTGTTTCACTTTGTTCACCTGCTTGCCACCGAAAATAAATAGCCAAATTGATAAAATTTCATGCAAGAAACTATGTTTGATAATAGACCAATTTCGACGTTTCTCAATTAATGCTTTGGGTCGATGCTTTAGAATAAAAAAAGATGTATCATTCATCCCTGAATTTCTAGGAAGGGATGTTTCTTCTCGAAGATAATCTTCATCTGTCGAATGATTTTTCCAGATATTCTTGTATTTTTTAAGGCTTTAGCTCGGCTGTTCTGTCTTCGCTTTACGATTGAAATCTTCTGCCACTTTCTCCAACTCTGCGACTGCCAAAACAGCGCCGCGCCGCCGTTTGTCCATTTTTCTGTCAATCATCGGAAAAGAAGACGACACTTTTTATGGATATCGACAAACATCTTTCAAAGTCGGTAAACACTAGCAGGTTGTGAAGACATAGCCGAGAAATTTTAGCCAATCAGAATTCTGAGAGGTGGTGAGACTTTTCTGTTTTAATTTGTCTTTAGCAGCTCAAATGTCTTCCGATTTGGGATGAATATATGGTTACACTAAGCTAGATAAACTACAAAGAGAAATAAGGTATGTACGCTTTCGAAACTTTATTTAGAAATAATGTGAATGTGAATATGAATCCTGACAATTGGGGTGGGGGTGGGGGGGGGGGATTGAGTGACGTACCTCAATCGGAAGTAAGGCCTTGTACCTTTTAAATTTGTATTGGTACCTTACTTTACTTTTATAGAGACGATCTGCCAAAGAAACTGGACAAAACAATCACCTAAGAATGCACGCAGAAACTTCACTTCCGATTTGCGTCTGTCGCCTAAAAACTTCGTTAAGGTCTCTAATGTCTCTTACATAAACTGCTTACACTATCAAAAATCGGAATGCGAAAACTTGTCTCTTTCCTTTTTGAGGTTATATTCAGTGGTCTGCTTCCTCATTATAAGCCTTGACTCAATAAAGTTCGCCCCTCAGGTTGTGGAGGAGGATCAAGATATCAAACGACTTAATAAGGAATATCACACAAACTACGCAAATATACGCCGCAGTGCTTGAAGAATAACAAAGAGGGTCTTTTAACTTGACGTTTCGTATGCTTTAGCATACGTCTTCTGAAGTAACATTTAAATGAAGTAACGACGTTATTCAAGTGTACGATGAGAAACCATTTAACGCGAAAGGAATACAGTTACAAATGATGGCACAATTGTCTTACACATAGAACATCAAAAAAATAAAGATAAAGGTCTTTGATGCTAAATTTTTTGGTCAAACGCGGCCTGAAAAAGTTTTTCCTCTCGGTTAAATCTTGAGCTTTCGTGGACGTCAATCAACGAGTTTCAATGGTTTCCTCACGAACTTCTCGTTCATCGATTCTAGATCTGTTTGAAGAACGAAGACTTGCAGGAATACTTTTCTCCGGTATGACCAAGGCGTTTCAATTTTCGCTAAGGTGACACTTTTAAATTAAATTTGTGAGTCTGAAAATCAATGTTTACTCTGAGTTAGAAGCAGCTATATACATGTAATAAGCTTTATACTCAAAACACACTTGCAACTCCTCTAGATGCATGGAGTTCTACTGAGCTAGTTCTGTACTCTATTTGATAGCATGAAAATGATAAGTCACGGTTATGCAGCTTGCGAAATTTAGTTCACATTTCGAAGTAAGCCTTTATTCAGAGGAAAGTTGATCTTTCACGACATATTTTGCTTTGTTTTTTTTTTTTACGTTTAGACCAAGCAGGTGCACACATAAAGAAAGGTTTGTTAAAATAGCACCTCCCCAATCACTTACCGTATTTATTCGATTAACCGCGCTGGGTGCTTATTAAATTATTCGAGGTGGGCGCTTATTACATTTTACACCATTTTAAGCAAGCGTAGTAATGCTTGTTTTGCAACAAAATAATAAATGGTACATTTGATAACAAAACGCGAAGATGTAACAAAACAACTGAGGTTTCTGTAAAATACTTTGAAGAAAACACCGCCTTCGGGGAAGTCTGTTATTAATTATATTCAATTTTTTTAGAGAGGGTGGGAAGGGAAATGGGGTGGGGTGGGAGTGGGCGCTTATTTGAGTTTGACTGGGAGGGAGGTGGGTTGGACTGGGCGCTTATTCGAGGCTGAGCGCTTATTACCTTTTTTTGTCTTTAGGATGGATGCTTATTCGAGGTTGGGCACTTATTCGAATAAATACGGTAAGAGTCTTTCTCGTTTTTCGCCCGTCACTTTGGAAAGCGATCCCTTCACTTCATAGACTCTTACTCTACGGCACAAACCCTACATAAAGACCAGAGGTACTTGATCTGACCAATATTCTTGAAACTATATCTCTTCAAAAAGTGTAACCTATGCGCAACATATCAACTCTCACCTAGCACTAAATATTCATCAGAATTTAATTCTAAATTCAGTTTTATTAATTTTAATTTTTAGAAGTTGCGAAATTTTTTATCGCACTCAATGAAAAGAGATGTTTGAGATATTTCTCTTTAAAGTAGGTTTCAAAAAGTCATATTTTGGTTTTACGTATAGATTCAATCTTTTATTTAATTGTAGCATATTACATATGTTTTATTATCAGTAGTAGGTTAACCCTTTTCAGACGGGGGGCTCTTTTGGATCCATGTCAACCGAAATTGACCACCATGCTTTTCAAAATTTGCTTTTTTCCTATTTAAAGGATTTATTTCTATTTTTACTTATTAAATTTAGCAATATTCTAACAAATTTATCAATAGTAGCTGTTAGTGTAATCCAGGCTTTTCTGAGACTGTTTTGAGAAAAACACGTGAATTTAAAAGACCAAGTGCTTGGCAGATGTTAGCGTTTCTATTCTTAACATTCTTGTTCATTTCGCGAATATTCACAACTAACGGATTTGTTAGTTTCCTAAGCATCCTGTTACACACAAATCAATTTTTTCCTATTGCAGTTTCCTCATTTAGATGGGTTTTAGGGAAAATTGAATACATTTAATTAATTCAAATTCACGGATCCAAGATGATGGATGGTTCCAGATCCTTCTTAGTAATAACAGGAGCCCATAACCCGGAGCGAGCAACTCCCATACTTGGCCCATGTCGCGACATTTTACGGATCAGTTTTTAGGGCATTTTTTCCCGCGAAAATAGAATCTCCACCACGGTCTATGAGCGCATTCGAAGGATAAGATAACAAAAAGAAAAAGTAAACGTTATTAAAAGGCAAAAATATATATCATTTTTAGGTCTGTAGGTTTTGCTGACTGGTTTGTGGGATTTAAAAGATATTTAATATTAGCGCCCAAACCGGTCTAAAAATATTTCTGGTCCATGAAAACGCCATGACACTAGCTCAAGGAAAACTTTCTCACTCCTGCTTATGGGCTCCTGGTAATAAATGATGTCACCATGACATCACTGCTGTTGTTAAAGGTTATTAATGCACTGGCCAACTCCTTGATCTTGTGACACGCTTAACTATTTTAAGTATTTTTCGTTTTGAGGGGGGAAATTGATGGAATTTGGATTCTGCCAATAAATTCAACAATACGACGTCATAATGTGGTCAAATTACCCCATTGTGTCAATCAAATTATGTCTATAGATGTTGGAAATGATGATTATATTATTTCGTGTAATTTTGGTGGCAGTATCATGAGCGGTTTTGCAGTTATAGAGGGGGTGGGGGCGGTTCGGAGCTCCGGAAGCAAAAACGGCTGGTCTTATTAGGGTTAAGTGTTCTCAAGCAGGCCTTTCTACGGTAATTAGAACTACGACTCTTTTTGGGATAACGTTTTTATAATTAATCAATAAATCAACTTTATTTAACCACGGGACACCTAGGACTAAATCACATGTGTTCGATTAAAACGTGTACATGTATAATGAAATAAATGTAAAAGAAATCAATAAAAACTACTCAAGTAATAACGAGCAATCTAAAATACTAATACGTTAAAAATGATATTTACAATTAGTATTCACAGACATTATTTACAGATAAAATTTAAAATCCTTATAAAATTTGAAAGCTTTTAAACATGAAGGCTTCAAGAGATCGCTTAAAAATTCTAATGTCTTTCGATTCTCTAATTACTGGCGATGAACTATTTCACGTAAAAGATTTATGCATACATTCTAAATTAAAAGATGGTAGCTCAAGCGTTGTGCCAAGCTCACGTAAATTGCATGAGACACTCTTAAATGTAAAAAAATCCACTAACATACAGTACGCACTGGTCGGTACAAACACTTGTACAGCATAATTAACGACTGAAACTGTTGATGCTGATCTAAAGTTTGGATATCAGTCATGCAGCTATATTTAAGAGGGTATCATATGAAACAGACTTCGAATAGTTTAAAATGGATCTTAATAATTAATAGCCATAAATAATAGTTAGTGTTCTCCATTTTATTAGCCTCGACATTACCAATACCCTTAAAAAGAGGACTACAAAATTCCAAAAGAAGAGGACTTCAGTTAACTCCGGTTATTGCGGACACTGTAAAGGACCTCGAGTTAGTGTCCTCACTAACGAGAGTCCATAATAGCGGGAGTTTGTTTCAGTCAAACGTCTGTAATTTGTTTTTGCCAGGGATTTAGCTACTGTCCTTATTATCGGGGTATCCGTTATAGCGAGGTGTCCGCAAGGCAAAAGTTGACTGTACACATATAATAAGCGACCACTTTGCGTATGTTGTGATCTCTTTCAGCGCTGTATACGAACATACGAAAAACTTTCTGTCAAAACATGAAACGACTTATATCGTACCTTGGAAATTGCATGCAATAAATTCCCTCCAAAAAGAAGATCCGTAAGCAACACCGTGCCGTAATTCACCATTAAAACTTCGCATTTTGAGCGGTCGCTTAAGGGAGGCCCGACTGTAGTCAATAGATCTAACAATAAATACTTAATGACTGGTCCTAAGAAAAACAATTAATTTTGTTTCTCGAGAATCTCAATGTTTCCCGAGGCGGAGCCCTGGTAATTTTGAGCCTGGAAATTCAATAAACCTCGCTGTAACGGCGGTCGTCGGTCAACATTAGGGACTGTACGCAACGACGACGGGAGGTTTTCATGACGGTATTTCCGACCGAAAGGGACTGGAACGATAACCTCAGTCTGTCCACTGTCGAGTTACGTTACGCATCGATGAATTCTACGAAGGCACTCCTGAGTTTGGCGCGAAATGCAAAACAATTTTCTCGGCGACGCGGGCGAAAGGGATTAGACTTAAACTATTAAACTGTTTATCTGTGCAACTGTTGATTCTAAAACCTTGATTCCCGACTAGTGACTGCTTTATACGGTATGCGTTCTTTAAAAGAAGTCAGAGATATGTTGCTTTTTGCTCACAGTTCGGAAATGAAAATTTTATCAATGACGAAGATTTTTTTGCTGTTGTATGATTTAAACAAATCAAGCCAAAATTCTCGACCGTTTAGCCTCATATTAAAGAACCGCCGAATATGCGACTGCTCACAAATATTTGTTAACACTTTCATTCTTAAATCAATGGAAACTAGTGGAAACAAAACCACGTCTGTTTTCTGGATGTAAAATAGTTAACTTACGTTGATGACCTCGTGTTCGTTTCAAGATGCGCGATTCGATTTCTCAAAAAATCATCAGGTTGGAAACTATGATGAATGAGCTGAAGTTAAAGGTCGATGGAGCGGTAAATGTAGCGACGAAAAATATTTTCTAAGCAATACAACTCATGTCGACTCACGTCGACAAGTCGACTCCAAAACAGGCGAACTGAAGTCGTGGACTGGAGCACGATGGCTTTTACACATGAATACCTTCACGATGGGGCATGCTCGTGACGTAATTTCAAAGCGAACGCCGTCGTCTAAGCTTAATTCCTCTCGTCACTGCGTAAAGTCCCTAGTCGCAGGGAACAGTGCACTGTTACCCTCTGACGTCATAGATTTGCAATGTTGCCAGCTCAGAGATTTTGGCGAGAAACAGTTTCCTCGTTATAGATTTCATGCGACCTGGAAGTAACCAAAGAGAGCACGCGCTGTTGGAAAAAATTCTCCAGCTATATAACAATCTAATTTGGCGATGAACATAAAAGTTCTCTCATGGTATCCTTTACGGCTTGCCTTACTTCTCTAATCTTCCAACAGTACAGGACCGGGTTTAAAGAGGAGTTTAGAAGAACTAAGGTACCGGTAAATTCCCTTGCATGGTAAAGCGATAGTGGTATCCCTCGCTGATGTTTCAAAGCTTCGTTTATAAGAAACGGCAGGTAAGAAACAACCAATGTCATCTGCACCCACAATGCAGCAGACACTGCCTTTCTGTATCGCGCTATGTTAAGCGGAACCGGTTGGTTCTGCTGTCTTTGAAGAAAGTGGTCCAGCACTTGGATTTGGTTATGACGCAGAATCAAGAAAATCTTGACGTAACAGACAAATGAGGTGACGAGACAAACAGATAAGGCTACCTTGATGCACCATGACGTCACAATAGGATTCCAAAGGTAGGTCAATATACCCACAATGGATAAAATCCAACCAACAATTAGGGTCACGAGTGTCCTTTTCAAAGTTACAACTTGTCTGTATCTCAGCCCCAGTAACAGGGCGAGAAGTCTGTCCACGCTGATTACAGCCAATGTAAATAATGACACGGCACTAAAAACATAGCACGTGAAAAAAGATAACACATGCGCGTAAAAGCAAATATCCCATTTATCTCTTAGCACGGACATAAAATAGGCAACATAAACAGGCTCTGCAATCAAACCGACACAGAGATCAGTTATCGCTAGGTTACGATACAGGAGTTTGGACGGCGGATGAAGTGAAGATTCTTTCTTTAGAGCTACTAGGATCAGAGTGTTCCCTAGAAATGCAGTAATGGACACAGAAATATTAACCACCAAGAGAAAGATTAGCTCGTGTTTTACTTCTCCAGTTAACTCAGCCGTGCATCGCGATTCCCTGTTGAATTTCTCCAGGCCTTTATTTTCTGCCAAATTTGTTGCTTGAGCCATTTCTCTGTAGCAGGAGCAGTTGAGAGTAAGCTGTCTGATTTAAAAAAAAATCATGATTTTTTTTTCGGGTAATGAGGAAAGAACATTGATTGTCACTACTGATATGCACTTCCTTTTTGTTAGCAATCACTATGCTGTTTATTTACCGTTAAAAAACCCGCCGCTTGAGTATTTTATTGCATGAATGGAAGATTTGAGAATATATCACGAAACTCCATGTTAGCATTAAGGACAGGAACAAATGAGTTTCATTGAATTTTCGCCATTAATTATTTCCTAAAAATTTGACATCGAAACTTTACTCCCATACAAACACGGTAATTTTACTATATATACCTACCGTGTTACAAGAATTGAGGGTGGGTTACCTGTGGTTCTGCGGTGTGGCTGGTTATTGCCAAGATGGCGGATTGATCCCGAGACCAAAACACTTAAAAAGGAAAAAAGCGAAATAAAACTAAAATGTATTTAAACAAATTTACCGAATATTTTGGTTTGTTAACTCTCAGGGAGGGCCGGGAGATTACCTGCCGGCTTTAGTAAACTTCATATCGCCAAAGTAAAGTCTAACAAGAGATGGAGATAAAACACACACAACAGAAAACATCTCCATGCCATCTGTAGCCTGCGTCGCAGACGTTATTTAACCTCGTCTGCGACAAAACATAAACTTACAAAAATTAGTTTGCAATTCCGAACAAAAAGGTTTCTAAGGAATGAGTTAAGTTCATAATCTATTACTCTTTTTTTTTCTGATTTTTAACCTTCTACTCACCCTTAGTTCTTTTCCCCTGTGCGTTTCACGTTGTTCACCTGCTTGCCACCGAAAATAAATACCAAAAACTGTCCACTGCTACCGCCTTTTTAGCCAAATTTATAAAATTTCATGCAAGAAACTCTGTTTGATGATAGACCAATTTCGACGTATCTCAATTAATACTTGGGGTCGATACTTTAGAATAAGAAAAGATGTATCATTCATCCCTGAATTTCTAGGTGATTTTTTTTTATATATTCCCCTAAGCCTGAATATGGTCTGTCAACAGAAAATATTGATTAGGAACCTTTTTTGAGTTATCATTCAGTTCCCGAGCGCGACTTGAAAATGAGAAGGATACATTATACATATTTTCAGTACCTTCTTTTCATTTATCGGTAGTCAGTTTAAAAATGTGCTTTAATCTTTAATTTGTTCAACAGAAGGCGTGAAAGAGATTCAAACTCTGTTTACCTCGATTTATGTAAAGTTCCGCCTTCAGAGCATCTGCCTTTTCCTCGGCAATTTCAGGATATGTTAAGGGATGTTTCTTCTGGCAGATAATCTTCAAAAAGTAGTTATCATCCGTCAAATGGTATTTTTGCAGATATTCTTGTATATTTTAGGGGATTAGCTCAGCTGTTTTGTCTTCGCTTTACGATTGAAATCTTATGCCACTTTTTCCAACTCTGCGACTGCCAAAACAGCTTAGCGCCGCGCCGCCGTCTGTCCCTTTTCCTGTCAATCACCCGAAAAGAAGACGACACTTTTGTGGATATCTACAAACATCTTCCAAAGTTGGTAAATGCTAGCAGGTTGTGAGGACATAGCCGGGTAATTTTAGCCAATCAGAATTGTGAGAGGTGGTGAGACTGTTCTGTCTTAATTTGTCTTTAGCAACTCAAATGTCTTCCGATTTGGGTTGCATATATGGTTCACTCAGCTAGAAAAATTACAAAGAGAAATAAGGCGTGTAGTCTTTCGAAACTTTATTTAGAATTTGAATGTGAATATGAATCCTGACAATTGGGGAGGCGTTTTTGAGCGACGTACCTCAATCGGAATTGAGGCCTTCTACCTTTTAAATTTGTATTGGTACCTTTCTTTACCTTCATAGAGACGATTTGCCAAAGCATTTGGACAAAACAACTACCTGTAAGAACTCGCACGCAGAAACTTCAATTCCGATTGCCGTCCGTGGCTTAAAAACGCCGTTAAGGTGTCCAATGTCCCTTATATAAACTGCTTACACTATCAAAAATCGGAATGCGAAAACTTTCCTCTTTCCTTTTTGAGTTTATAATTCAGTGGTCTGTTTCCTCATTATAAGCCTTGACTCTATAAAGTTTGCCCGTCAGGTCGTGGAGGAATATCAAGATCTCAAACGACGTAATAAGAAATATCACGCCATCTGCGAAAATAGTACTGCAGTGCTTGAATAATAACATAGAGCATCCTTTCTTTAACTTGACGTTTCGTATGCTACACCATACGTCTTCTGAAGTAACCGTTAAATGAAGTGACGACATAACGACATTCAAGTGTAAGAAAGATGAGAAACTATTTAATGCGAAAGAAACAATGCTACAAATGATAGAATGTTCTGTCGTAAATTGTAATAACAATTGTCGAGAAATGTAATAACCAAGCTATCGCGAATTGTAATAACACGGTCGGATGACCTGTGGATAGGGGGGAAAGCCCAATCGGACTTGGAGATAGCTGGTTTTCTACGAAAACTATGTAAGTAGTGCGTTCACATAGGGCATTGTGTTAATAAAAAAATAGAAAAAAAATGAACAGAAGAACATTAATTTGTTAGACTATTTAATTCTTTTTATTTAACGCTCTATTAAAATTTTAGGGTAAAGGCCTATTGCTTTAAGGGGGATAGACTTTGAAGGTAAAATTTGAAGTGGACAGACAGACAGGGGGCGAATAGGTCCGTTGTCAAAAGGGGAGAGCCCAAATCAGAAATTAAAGTTACAGATTCAATAATTAAGTGTAAAAGGAGTATGGGATTTAGACAATGAAGAGGTAGGCTTGGAGCCAGCCATCTTTGAAAGAATGCGTAGTAGTTCACTCATTTAGCAATATTTTATCAAATTTATCAATTGTAACTGTTAGTGTAATCCAGTCTTTCCCGTGACTGTTTGGAGAAAAACATATGAATTTAAAATGACCAATTGGCAGAGGTAATACCCTTTCAATTCTTAACATTCTTGTTAATTTCTCGGATTTTCACAACTTGCGGATTTGTTAGCCTCCTAAGGTTAGTAATGTGCTGGAGAAATTCTTGAACTTTTCAGATGCCTTGCAATTTTAAATATTTTTCGTTTTGAGGGGGGAAGTTGATGGAATTTGGATTCTTCCAATAAACTCAACAATATGATCGACTTCGTAATGTGTTCAAGTTACGCCATTGTGTCAACCAAGTCATGCCTATAGATGTTGGAAATGATGATTATATTATATTGTTTAATTTAGGTGGCCGTATCATGAGCGGTTTTGCAGTTATAGAGGGGGTGAAGGCGGGGCGGAGCTCCGGAAGCAAAAAAAGGCTGGTCTAATTAGGGTTAATTGTCGTATAAGAATGCCTTTTCTCCTCAGTTAACATAACCGACACATTCTAGAAGTCTTATTATTCTCATCAATATCATCATCTAATGAGCAATAGCGTATTGGGAGGAGGTGAGACTTCCTTTCCCCCATCGCTATAAACAGGAAGACCTTAGATAACAACGACCTCAACCAGGTTGTGACGTCCAGCGGATTTAGTGAAAACAAGGGCTTGGGTGGGGTGCTCAGTCTCGCTGGCTCATAAAACCTGCTCTCGGTGGTTCTTATCAAAGGAGCTGTGTCACGAAAATTCAGACAAATTAGGTAATTACAAAATGTCCGTTAAATTAAGAGAAACATAAAAATAACCGCTTAAAACATTAAAGGAAGGTTAAAATAACACAACAGATACAGCAGATGCCACGGATGGGCAGAACTGAAGAAGATTGAAACGGATTGAAATTAGGGTTTTTGAAAACTGCTCAGCCTAACAGTTTTTCAAAGTTGATCACTGCTGTTTGCAACTTCAAAAATAATGCCCAGGAGACATATTTGTTTGTCTTGAATCTCTGATTTTGTCATTTACATGTAATTTCTTAACTTACTTTAAGTTCAATAGCGGTTGAGGGCGAGTAATAGGCAAAATTAATTACAAACAAAATGAAATGGACTGCCGTGACACAGCTCCTTTAAAGCATTTTCCTATAAACAGGGCGCCCACTTCTTTAGTGATGACATTTGAAACCAAGGTGGCCGCTTGTTACAGCAAGCGCTCGATTTTAAGGGAAAATAGGAGACGGTAAACAGTCTAGAAACGCGGCTATTTTTGTGGTGCAATATTAAAGGACACCATGCCCCTACTTCTTTACACTTTTTACCTCGTTGCTTACTAGTTTTAGAAGTTAGAACCGAACCATCCCAGGGTAGGCTTTTAAAGATTGTGATTGCAAAAGTGGCATAATATGCTACTAGCGCTAGCAGTGCTCTTATATTTCTAAAATTATGCCAATAATTATGTTAGTTTTTGTAAATTATGCTCATTTTAACAAAAAATGCAGAAATTGTGCTTCTACTATAAATGGCAAACAAACACTGGAGAAGTCTCAAACAAGTAAAAGAAACTTAAGAAAGTTTAATTCATTTTCTGACAACTTTGGAATGTCAAACGATTTACAACACACCCGGACGCCATCTTGGGCAACTGACCTAGTTTTGCGCATGCGTTGAGTATTGAAGAAAAAAATATCCTCGGTCTCTTTCCGTGGGAAAGAGGTTCCATGAATGTGACAAAACCAGAGAAAAAATTCATTTTTTTACTTAAACGTGCCTGTGACACTGACCTCGGGCCAAAAATATTGGCTGCATGATCAATGACAATTTTAGCCAGAAGTGCAAATTATTCTAGCAATGCTCATTCTCGTCCCCAGAGCCCGTCGTTTCTTGGTCACTTGATCGGGAAACGAGGGGCTCTGGAAGCAGCCGTTACCGGATGTCAGAAAATTTCTGACATCCGGTCGCATGTGCAGAAGTTACAAATATCACTGCTCATGCTCATAACGGATTTTTGTCCCTCACTGCTCCACTGGGGGAAAAATTTTACTTCCTGAGCTCTCTCCAGAGA